GTCCGCTTCCCCCCCCCCCCCCAGCTTTCCCTCCCCTCACAGGGACGACTTTGGTGGCGACGAAAACATCTCAAGCTCCTTCTATTAAAATTCCTCCGCGCGTTGTTGGGGAGGGGTTAAAAGGGCTGTGTGTCAGCCACAGGGATGGGGACACGAATGATTTCTGAGGGGTTTCCTTGTTTGTTCTTTTTTATTATTATTTTTTTTTTAATTCCATCTTCTCCTGATGGGTTAACACGGTTTAATTAAGGGGAAGAGGGTAAGCAAAATCCTTCAACAAATACGTGCAAATTCCTGGCAGGGCTGGAGCTGCAAACGAAGCACAACTGCACTCCCCCAGCCGGCACTCGTGGTGGGGTCTTGAATATTTCTGGGGTATTCAGGGCTGGGATATTGGTGGGGAAAAAGGAGGAATAAAATATGGTCCTAATTTATGCCTCAGAACTCAGTCTGCTGCAGAATGTATTTTATAGGAGCAAACAATCTATAAAGCGGAATTCAACGAGCTGGGTTCTGTAAATCCTCTTGTTCTGCGTTGCCTGTAAACGCTCCCATTTAATTCAGAAAATTGTTCAGTTTCTTCTTATTCAGCAGTTCCTAATGGTAACGCTTCACGCGCTCTTCCCAACGGGCTGTAAATCTAGGAAACGTGTCAAGATCACTTAGTTGTAAATTAAGCCTGGGTTCAAGCTGGTAAATGAGCATCTATTCGAAATTACAGCTGGAAATTTCGGGCTCTACCTGCTCCCTCCTGCCTGTGAGATCCCATAGCTGTGTGCACAAGGAGGCGCTTTTTTTCCCCTAAAAAATCATTGACACAACCACTGAAAGAATCCGTCCCTAGATCAGAAAGATAAAAAGCTTGTTCTTATTTAAATCTGGTTTCCTGCAGAACTTGTTTGAGGCTTTTCTGCCTGGGCTGCAGCTACAGGGACCTTTGCAAAGCAGCGCGTGTGTGTTATTCCTGGTGGCTTTGTTGTGAGGAGCTGAGATTCTAAAAACACCTCCCTTTTATGGAAAATGTTTATTTTTTTTTCTTTGAGCAATGTATAATTTTAAAGAAATCTTCCTCTGTATGTGCTAGAGATAGGAAGTAAGGAGGTGCACTTCCACAAATGTTAACTTTTCATTCAAAATTTGCTTTCTGCAGGGTAGTGACATTTCATACGCCCGCTCTGCTCCTACGCCTGCTTTTCCTGAGGTGCTAAATGATAGAAAAGACTTCTTTAAATTCGGTGTGGCCGTGAACCATTCTGTGCAGATGCTGTAGCAGTAGCCCAGCTCTTTGGCGAGCCCCCCGGAGAGTAAATCATTTGTCAATCTTGCTTTTTCATGAACCTCCCATCTAAGGGTTTGCCGGCCTTTCTTCTCGGGAGGTTTTGCAGGGGTGTTTCTAGATCCCTGGTTTTGTTTCGGGGCTGGCCCATGGCCAGTGGTTTCTCCGGGTCCCTGTGGCTGGGGGAGGCAGGAGCCGAGCGGGTCGCATGCTGAGAGCCTCCGCGGGGGCATTTTTGGGGCAAAAGGCTACTCGTGGGCAGGAGCCGCAACGTGACGGGTCGGTAACTCCCCGTCGGCTCGTGGTCAGTGAACAAAGCCCCTTTTGACATTTCTCCCTATTAAAAGTTATGAAATAACACGAGTTTAATGAACAAACAAGGCGACACAATACTCCTACTGTGAAATGAGCCCCATCGTCCGTTTCCGCATCTTTTCTCTTCGGAGTTCAAAAATTTGATGCCTTTTTAAATGTTTATCACATTAATCGAGGTCTAATTTATTCCTCTGGGTTTCTGATGTTGCTTTCTTTGATGCTGTACAGACTTGTGTTGTTAGGAAAGGTTAAAAGCCCACTGGTTTTTGGAGGAGCTGGACTCACTGATACTAATAACTAGGAAATTTGGTGGTGTGGCTCGGTCTGTGGTTACGGCTGTCGGTTTGGCAGCGGAGCCAAACCCCTGAACGGGCAGAAAGTTCAGACCCACACAGGCCAATCCCAAAGGCAAATTTGTAATAAATGAGTATTCGGTTCATTGTGGCAATTCTTCAGAGTTTTTGACTCTTTGTCAACCTTACTCTGTGCTGGCGACATATAGGAGAGTCTTTGAAACAGTGAAGAGGAGGAGCAGAAGCCTTTAGAAGATGTCTTTGATTCCACTGCAGCATGAGATAGTCAAGGGCCTTGGGTTAATTATAAAGGTGGAAATAAATTAAAAAATGCACTTTCTGCTCTGCTGAAACACCAATTAGAGTGCTCTTAATGCCAGAGTGCTGCCGGTTGCCCAGCGTCCCGGTGCCCTGGCAGGATAAGCGTTAATGCAGATGCAGTCTCTGAAAAACTACATCTGTTTGGTTTTTCCACTCTTGCTGCAGGAAAAAAGGGGTCGAATATCTCCAAGAAATGCAGTGAAGAGGAGGAGCAGAAGCCTTTAGAAGATGTCTTTGATTCCACTGCAGCATGAGATAGTCAAGGGCCTTGCGTTAAAAAAAGGGGTCGAATATCTCCAAGAAATGCTGTCTTGGGTACATCTTTCTGCCTTTTCCCATTTCTCTTGCAGTTACAGTCATTTTTCTCTGTTCTGAATTGCTTAGCAGGGCTGCTTTGGGCTATTCAATGCTGTGCTTCGGCTCCCCTTCCACGATGGGTAAACTCATTTCTAAAGAATACTTACAAAATGTTTTACATTTGTGCAATACCTCCAGATCACAAAGAATAATGGCAAACTTCAGCTGGTATCTCAAACCGCCACAGCTGAAGCCTCCACATGTTTTGGATGGGATGCCTTAGACTATTTACAGAATAGGACTGTGTTATGTAGAATTTGGGAATTCCGAGGCTGCTGGAAGGCGCTGCCCGGGCAGCCCCAGCCCTTTCCACGCTGGTTGATGTGGTACCATGGGGATGTCCAAGCTCCCATCCCTGTGCCCTCGCAAAGATGGACATGTATGAGCCTGAGTGTTACAGATTTGGGGGTCCGTCTTCTTCAAAATACAACATTCAGGGGCAACATCCCTTTTAGCACCTTTTCAGGCTTTCTGGAAAGTTTCCAAGCGGAAGACCCCCACCTCCTTAATCAGGACAGACCCCCTGGTTCTTCCCAATCCCACTCCCCAATGTCACTCATTCAAGTGCGCTGACCTGGCCCGACCTCGTTTAGATTGAGATCTAATGAGCCCCCGGCCCGGGGTGCTGCTGGTGGCCCTCGGCAGGCTCCTCTTGTGTTTTTCCCTGTGCATGTGGTTTAAATTTATCACGTCCATAAACAAGTGTCTCCCCGCGCTCAAACGGGGACTTTACAACCTCCTAGTTCAGGCCAAATTGTGGCGCTACAAATTGCGATGTCACTTCTTCAAGATGGAAGGGGACAACGGGGAATATTTATGACCTCAGAATAATGAAGTCCTGTTGGTTGGGTTTGTTCTTTTTTTTTTTTTTAAATTTAAATAATGGCATAATTCTGAAACTCTTCATCCAAATGGCAGGGAAAGCCAAATTAAGAAGTAAGGCTGTTGATTTAAAGGAAGGAGGGATGCATGAGCAGAGTATCATAACACAGGTTGTGCAAGTTAAAATAAATACAGCCGGGCTTTAAATTCCAGGGAAAGGCTTGGGTTTGTTTTCTTTTGAGTCCCAGGTTTTGGGGAAGTTTGCTTTTGGTTGTGTTGTGTTTTTTTCTTTATAAATTGTGTTAGAGCTGCCTTCGGGGTCAGTGGGGAATACACCACCAAATGCAGGTATTTTATGAAGCAAATAAAACTTGAGGCTTTCAAATCAAAAACCGGTCCAGGACGGGTTGTGGGATGTAGCAGTAGATTAATTGAGTTGATGAGGATGGATAAAAGTGTAGTTGTGATGAGAGAAGCTGTTTGAGCAGTGAAGTCTTTCGCAGGACGTGTGCTGGGAGTCCCAGCAGGAACCTGCTGAACCCATGGCCCGTGGCCCATGCCGTGGGCCAGCAGTAGCCACCTCCACCTGTAAACCTGGGCTCTTCCCATGCCCGGGACGTGGCTCTGCTCTGGGACAGCCCATGGTGCCCCCCAGAGATGCTGGCACCAAAAACCTCCTCTGGGCTCAGGATTTGCTGTGGGACCTCCAGGGAGGCACCAACTCGTTCTGGTTTTACTGGAGTGAGGGGGATAAAGAGCTTTTTGCTAAATGGAGGAATGTGGGGGGCTGGGGGGGGCACGGAGAGACGCATTTACTGTGGGCAGGGAGAAGCAGAGGCCTCTTTATCAGAGCGGCTCTAATGATGTGCCACAGTCGCTTTTATTTGAAAGCTTCATGGCTCGCAGAAAAGTAAACAAATTCATTACATTATTTTTAAAAGAAGATTAACTGTGGTGTGTCGTCTGTCAGACAGCTGCTGTAGTAATCTTTTACAAACACTTTATAAATGACCACCCTCAGTGTTTGCCTGGGCTTTGTGGGGCTGGATTGTTATTTTAGTGAGTACCAGGGTGGCTTTTCAGATGAAAACGTTGTTTCCTGAATAGCAATTACCTACCTACCTTCACCCCAAATATTATTTTATTCTCAGCATGAGCTATAAAACGTCTTCTCTACAAATGCACCACAAGTTGCTTTTCTGCATGTGTTTACACAGGAATGCTGGCTTTTCCATTAAAAAAAAACTAGAAAGTATTTTAAACAACAAAAAAAGCAAATCTTGACTGCCCCACTCCCATTTATTGGAATCTCTGCTTTCTTGCCATTTTTTTTGGTCTTCAAAAACAGAGAGGTGAAAAGATGAGTCAGATGAATCGACGCTGAACACGTGTTTGTTCTCAGTGAGTGTCTCTGGAGAATCAGTGCTGTCCAGGTGTCGTCTCATTGAACCATCCTCTGCTGGAACATCAGCAAGAACAATGTTATTTAGCACCACGTCTGTATTTCCCTCTGAAAGAACTCAACAAACACCAATTGGCGCAACACTAGGGATTTTGAACTTTATAAAGTGGTTTTAACCAATCTTTCCATAACGTGGCTGGTGTTGTCCATGAAGGTTTCAGTTCTGGGTTCCTGGGGCAGGTGAGGAGGGAGCAGGGGTGGGAGGAAAAGCGTTTTTGCCCTGTTTGGCCTTGGTCTCCGATGCTCGAGCAGAGGACCTCCCCTGGGACGTATGATGCCACAGTAAAGTGTCACAGAAATGTGTCAGTATTTGCAGTTTTGAGTTTACAAATGAGAGCAGGGCAGTGGTACAGCACAGCCAGCGGGAGCCAGAAACCCTGAGCTCAGCACTGGAGCTAATACTTAATGGTATTTTTTTTACTGGAATTTTGTCCTTCCTTAGAGGAGAAGGTGGTATTTGAAAGGTCCTCAGCGTTGGTTCCTTTTAGCCCACATGATAGCGCAGTGCCCGGCCTGTGGAGGTGGCTGAGCAGCAGCAGGTCCTTAAAGCACAACAGAGGTATCAAAGTTTTAATTAATGAGGACTGTATGAGGTCTGTTAAGTACCATATAAGATGAGAATTCGCACCACCCCTTTAGTCTTGGAGCTGGAAATACCCAAAAGCAACACCAATACAGTGTAAGAGCCTTGGTTGCAGAATTTCATATTCTTTCATCTCCCAGTTGTTTCTGGGAGGTTGCACAGAAGAGGTGGCTTCAGTCTCCAAATCCCTTCTGCTTCCCGAGGTACGTGGGGGTTTGGATACTCAGAAGGTATTTTAGTTGACAATTTTGTGTAGGATGGTTGTTAGAGGAGTCAGGACTCTGTAGAGAGTAAATCTTGGGGAGTGCATTGAGTAAACAGCCATCCAGGATTAGACCGGCTGTGATTTTTTATGCTTCTAGTTGACACTAATTTCTTTTTTTTTAAATTTAAATAATGGCATGATTCTGAAACTCTTCATCCAAATGGCAGGGAAAGCCAAATTAAGAAGTAAGGCTGTTGATTTAAAGGAAGGAGGGATGCATGAGCAGAGTATCATAACACAGGTTGTGCAAGTTAAAATAAATACAGCCGGGCTTTAAATTCCAGGGAAAGGCTTGGGTTTGTTTTCTTTTGAGTCCCAGGTTTTGGGGAAGTTTGCTTTTGGTTGTGTTGTGTTTTTTTCTTTATAAATTGTGTTAGAGCTGCCTTTGGGGTCAGTGGGGAATACACCACCAAATGCAGGTATTTTATGAAACAAATAAAACTTGAGGCTTTCAAATCAAAAACCGGTCCAGGACGGGTTGTGGGATGTAGCAGTAGATTAATTGAGTTGATGAGGATGGATAAAAGTGTAGTTGTGATGAGAGAAGCTGTTTGAGCAGTGAAGTCTTTCGCAGGACGTGTGCTGGGAGTCCCAGCAGGAACCTGCTGAACCCATGGCCCGTGGCCCATGCCATGGGCCAGCAGTAGCCACCTCCACCTGTAAACCTGGGCTCTTCCCATGCCCGGGACGTGGCTCTGCTCTGGGACAGCCCATGGTGCCCCCCAGAGATGCTGGCACCAAAAACCTCCTCTGGGCTCAGGATTTGCTGTGGGACCTCCAGGGAGGCACCAACTCGTTCTGGTTTTACTGGAGTGAGGGGGATAAAGAGCTTTTTGCTAAATGGAGGAATGTGGGGGGCTGGGGGGGGCACGGAGAGACGCATTTACTGTGGGCAGGGAGAAGCAGAGGCCTCTTTATCAGAGCGGCTCTAATGATGTGCCACAGTCGCTTTTATTTGAAAGCTTCATGGCTCGCAGAAAAGTAAACAAATTCATTACATTATTTTTAAAAGAAGATTAACTGTGGTGTGTCGTCTGTCAGACAGCTGCTGTAGTAATCTTTTACAAACACTTTATAAATGACCACCCTCAGTGTTTGCCTGGGCTTTGTGGGGCTGGATTGTTATTTTAGTGAGTACCAGGGTGGCTTTTCAGATGAAAACGTTGTTTCCTGAATAGCAATTACCTACCTACCTTCACCCCAAATATTATTTTATTCTCAGCATGAGCTATAAAACGTCTTCTCTACAAATGCACCACAAGTTGCTTTTCTGCATGTGTTTACACAGGAATGCTGGCTTTTCCATTAAAAAAAAACTAGAAAGTATTTTAAACAACAAAAAAAGCAAATCTTGACTGTCCCACTCCCATTTATTGGAATCTCTGCTTTCTTGCCATTTTTTTTGGTCTTCAAAAACAGAGAGGTGAAAAGATGAGTCAGATGAATCGACGCTGAACACGTGTTTGTTCTCAGTGAGTGTCTCTGGAGAATCAGTGCTGTCCAGGTGTCGTCTCATTGAACCATCCTCTGCTGGAACATCAGCAAGAACAATGTTATTTAGCACCACGTCTGTATTTCCCTCTGAAAGAACTCAACAAACACCAATTGGCGCAACACTAGGGATTTTGAACTTTATAAAGTGGTTTTAACCAATCTTTCCATAACGTGGCTGGTGTTGTCCATGAAGGTTTCAGTTCTGGGTTCCTGGGGCAGGTGAGGAGGGAGCAGGGGTGGGAGGAAAAGCGTTTTTGCCCTGTTTGGCCTTGGTCTCCGATGCTCGAGCAGAGGACCTCCCCTGGGACGTATGATGCCACAGTAAAGTGTCACAGAAATGTGTCAGTATTTGCAGTTTTGAGTTTACAAATGAGAGCAGGGCAGTGGTACAGCACAGCCAGCGGGAGCCAGAAACCCTGAGCTCAGCACTGGAGCTAATACTTAATGGTATTTTTTTTACTGGAATTTTGTCCTTCCTTAGAGGAGAAGGTGGTATCTGAAAGGTCCTCAGCGTTGGTTCCTTATCGCCCACATGATATCGCAGTGCCCGGCCTGTGGAGGTGGCTGAGCAGCAGCAGGTCCTTAAAGCACAACAGAGGTATCAAAGTTTTAATTAATGAGGACTGTATGAGGTCTGTTAAGTACCATATAAGATGAGAATTCGCACCACCCCTTTAGTCTTGGAGCTGGAAATACCCAAAAGCAACACCAATACAGTGTAAGAGCCTTGGTTGCAGAATTTCATATTCTTTCATCTCCCAGTTGTTTCTGGGAGGTTGCACAGAAGAGGTGGCTTCAGTCTCCAAATCCCTTCTGCTTCCCGAGGTACGTGGGGGTTTGGATACTCAGAAGGTATTTTAGTTGACAATTTTGTGTAGGATGGTTGTTAGAGGAGTCAGGACTCTGTAGAGAGTAAATCTTGGGGAGTGCATTGAGTAAACAGCCATCCAGGATTAGACCGGCTGTGATTTTTTATGCTTCTAGTTGACACTAAACAATTCCGTGGGACCCTTGCCTGGAAAGACATGAATGAACCTCTCTCAGACTTGGAGGAGTCCCCAGAGGCAGTTGCCTCTTGCTATGGAACAGCTTTTTGTTGCTGCGTTGTGTGATCTCACCCTGGATCTTCCCCGATAAACTCAGTCTATCTGTTTAATGCTCTTCATCTGTGCGCCAAATAAATATTTTCATTTGGAGTATACTTATGGATACATTTATAGTAATTTGGTTTTCTGCGTGAATAATTAATTATTCTGTCTACAAACCTAAAGAAACTTCAGCCTTTGTTTATGCGTGGCTGTGCGTGTGTTTACCCAAGATTGCTGAGGGATCTCCAGGGGGTCGTGGATGAAGATGGCTGTTGTCACATCGTCCCCTTTGGGATAACAGAGATGAAGCCCCTCTGTGGCAGACAGAGGTTTGCTCAGCCTGGGGAAGTGTGAGGTTACACCACAAGCAGCCCCAGAAACTAAGGACTTTAAGGAGACTTTCCTTCTCCCATGAAATGTGTGTATGCTGCACTAAATAATCCATACCCTCCCTCTGCTGCAAAACGGCCTCTGCTGGTCCCATTCCCCCCTCAGGTGCGATGGGAGAGCAAGCAGGACAAGGAATCCTAGATAAAGTGATTAATACATGGTTAGAAGGTGCTCAGGTTTCTTCTGAGAAGGGTAGAAATGTCTGTAGAGGGCAGTTCTACAGATTTCTGCAAGTGGAGTATTTACAGTTCTGTGAACTGAGCAGAGCAGAGAGGTGATGGAAATATAATGCAATAGTGGAGCTTGAAGCTCCTGGTTTTAAAAATTACCTGTGCCCTCCAATTGCATTGAGGCATATTTTGTTCACTTTCCTATAGAAATATAAACACACCATTTAAATGTCTATTATTTCAGGCACCAGAAGAAGAGGAAGAGCTTACGGCAGAGGAAAGGAGGAAACTGGAAAGAAAATTAAAGAAGGAGCGCAAGAAGAAAGAAAAGCAGCTGATGAGGGAAGCTGGAATCTCTACTAAAAAGGCAGAGCCCCAGAAGCCGTCGGGGTCCGAGCGGGCTCTGGCCTATTTAACCAGGTAAGAACAGTAAAACTCTGCAGGTGCTGCCTGCAGAAAGCAGCTGGAGACCCTGCCAGGAACCCAGCACGAGCTGAAACCAAGGAATAACGCAGGAAAGGAAATTGCTGCAGTTAAGCATGAAGTTAATGTCTTGGCTCAGTTCCCACCCCAAAATATGGCCGGTGGCCCCGTTGTGTTTCCATCACAGGAACCACGGGAGGGATGTCGCGTCCGGTGAGAGGCAGCTCCTGCCCCAAACACCTTATAGAATCATTCAGATTGGAAAAGACCCTTGGGATCATGGAGTCCAACCATCAACCCCTCTCTACAAAGTTCTCCCCTACCCCATATCCCCCAACGCTGCCTCTAGACGACTCTTCAACACCTCCAGGGCTGGTGACCCAACATATCCCCCAACGCTGCCTCTAGATGATTCTTCAACACCTCCAGGGCTGGTGACCCAACCCCTCCCTGGGCAGCCTCTTCCAGTCTATGACTGCTCTTTCTGTGGAGAATTGTTTCCTAATGGCCAGTCTGAACCTACCCTGGTGCAGCTTGAAGCCATTCCCTCTTGTTCTGTAGTTGATATAGAAATATCCCTGGGTTTGCTGCGTTAAAAAGATGAAAGGCTCGATGCAGAAAAGGTTGCAGTGAGGAAATGAGGTTGTTTGAGTGGGCTGTTCTCAGCAGAGGAGCTCCAGTTGTTCCCTTTGTGTAAGCAAATTGCATGAAGTGGTTAAACGCTATGGAGCCTGGATGTCTGAATGTAACTGCCTGGGTGATACTTGGGTATTTGTAAATTTAGATGGGATTATGCCACTATTTTCAAGTTAATAGTGTACAGTGCCTTATTTTTGCATGCCAAAGTACGTAGCAAGTGTAGTGGCTGACTTCAGATTAGAAGCAATTACTTCACCTAGTTAGCACACTTATTTAGAATACTTAAAATTCCGACTTAAAATTCTATGTAAAAATAACTACAACAAAGCATTCATAGTGCCCCGCAGCCACGGATAAACAGGACGGTAGTGTTTATTTTTTCCCAAACTGCCAAATACCCCCTGTCTGTGGGACCTCCAGAAGCACAATCCTTTACAAAGAGCGGGTTTCCAGGAGGAGTAATTCCAGGAGAAAACCATTCTCTCGGGCCACGCGTGAACCCGGAGCATCCAGACTCTCTGAGCTGTTACGTCCCGCTCTCCGCGGGGAGGGAGGAAATTAATTGCATTCCAGGCAGAGGGACACGTGCGTTTTCCTTGCGTAACCCTCAGCACGCAGCCCTCCCCAAAATGACAATAATATTTTTTGATCTGGCAAACAGCTGGAGCAGCTCAGCACCGGGCTGAGCTGGGGAGGGACCGGCTCCCTCTGAGCGTCTGTGCTCCCCGGTCTGTGGGGCAGCCACTCATCGTGGGCTTCGGGTTCAGAAAGCAAAGGGACAAGCTGGGGGGTTTGGGGGGTGATATTTCACTGTTGTCTGTATGGGGTTTTGCCTTGTTGGGTGAGAAAAGGACTGAGAGAGTTGGGGGGGTTCAGCCTGGAGAAGAGAAGGCTCCAAGGGAGAACTTAGAGCCCCTTCCAGTCCCTCAAGGGGCTCCAGAAGAGATGAGGAGGGACTCTGGATCAGGGAGGGGAGGCACAGGATGAGGGGGAAAGGTTTTAAACTGAGAGGAGATTGAGCTGAGATGTGGGAAAGAACTTCTTTGCTGTGAAGGTGGTGAGAGCCTGGCCCAGGTTGCCCCGAGAAGCTGTGGCTGCCCCATCCCTGGAGGGGTTCAAGGGCAGGTTGGAGGGGGCTTGGAGCAACCTGGGCTGGTGGGAGGTGTCCCTGCCCAGGGCAGGGGGTTGAAACTCAGTCTTTAAGGTCCCTTCCAACCTGAACCATTGTGATTCTATGAAAATATGAAACTGTGTTTGAACTACATGGACTCCAAATTTTCACTTAACCTTTACCAAATTACCTTGAAAAATGAAACCGTCGATGTCATTGGGCCTTGTAATGCAGAGTCCCAGGGCTCTCTGTGCAGCAATAGGTTGTGAGGGATTATTTCAGCAACAGCCAATTTGAATTTTGCAGATTTAACCGGGATAGTCATAAGATGCTGAACTGCCAAAGGGAACCGTAGACAGTATTTAACCCAAATGTCCCAGGACTGTCCTACACTGTGGTAAATTGTGGAAGAACAGCTTAATCCTTTTACACCTCAGTAGTTTTTTCGACACAGCAAGACTGGAAAAAAGAGAAAAATGGATTTAAAGTCATCAGAGAAATAAAGTAGTAGCTGGGGAAGGGAAACTAAAATTTAAGCTCTGGAAGTTAATTGTAAAACTCCAGGAACTTCAGTGGGTCAGGGATTTCAGTCTAGGTGTTCCTGTAGGGCTACAGGCAGGAATAATGTGTGGGAGGAGAAGTTAATCTCAGAGATGCAAGAGATTAATGTAATTGGAAGTTACCCAAAGGGTGCTGGGGGTTCACGTTTTGCCCCACCTACAATAAAAAAAGCCTTACATGACATGAGGGTGGCCAAGCCAAGTGGCACCTTAATCCCCTGATGACATGGGAATCTCCTGTGGGACAGGTGGAACTTGAAGGACCGTACGATAACTAAAGCTGTGATTTTTATTTCTTAAGAGACTACTTGCAGTGTGAGAGCACACCATATGACGCTTTAGCCAAGGACAGGAAAATATTGAATTTGTTTAAGTGGAACTTTGTTTGATAACTCTAAAAGAAAAACGTTAGAAAAGATGCAGTGAAAGATGTTTTGTTACACATTGATACTTGGGACACACAAGGGAAAATGACACTTGTTTTGTGGGTTGCACATGTTTGAAGGGGTAGGAGTTCCCTCAGTGCAGAATAATCTTTTCTGGTAGGTGGGAGAATATGTTTCTGTTTCAAACAGTAAGGTCAGGGAGAAGTAGCAAAAATTTTGCTTGAAGGAAATAAAATATAGTTAATAAGAGTTGCTGCTTTGCGAGGGGGTTCTGTGCTGTGAAAGCCCAGCTTCTGCTGTAGCTGTGGGTGCTCCGGGGAGGAAATAAAAAGAAAGAGGCAGGGAGCCCACGGGCAGCACTTTGCTGAGGCACGAGGCTGAGTAAAACTGCACAAATCTCTTCCTTTTAATGACGACAGACCTTTTTTCTCAGTGCTGGTAAGTGATGAGTCACGTTTAAAGCCGAAATTAGAATGTCTCATCACTTCGCTTCTTTGAAAATATAAAATAAAACTTTGTCCTTTTCTGAGCATGAAGAGCCTTCAAGTGAAAAGATGGCGCAATTCATGAGAGTGGTAATTAGACTTAATTATAACCTAAGTGACCTTCCATGGTGTGAAAATGTTGGCGAAACTTGTTTGTGTTGGCAAGATGCTCTCTCTTTGAAATGTTTCTGTGCCTGTGTGTGGCTGAGGAAGCTCCTTGCTGTATGATCTGCACACGTGGCTTTCTCCACCACCCGTCCAAGGAATAGACAGAGATCCGAAAAGACGTCACTAAAAGTACATGGAGTTACAACATTGATCTCATCTGAAGTAGAAGTAGTAGATGATATCATTATCCGGAAATTGCTGTGAATTGCCAAAGCCTGGCAATATTATTTATCAAGTGTTTAAAAAATAAGCTGCTGGAGTGCATTTCTTTTCTTTCTACAATACTTTATGTCATACTCCTAATAGATGTCACCAGAATGTTGCACAAAGGCATTGTCTTTTCAGTTTTCTTTATAGATCTTACTTTTCCTAATTTAGGTGAGATTCAGATAGAAAAGATGTTCAAGAGAAGAGGCGTTCAAGAGAATGTCAGAGGCTTCTTTAAAAAAAAAAAAACCAAAACATGCCCGTCCAAGGAATAGACAGAGATCTGAAAAGACGTCACTAAAAGTACATGGAGTTACAACATTGATCTCATCTGAAGTAGAAGTAGTAGATGATATCATTATCCGGAAATTGCTGTGAATTGCCAAAGCCTGGCAATATTATTTATCAAGTGTTTAAAAAATAAGCTGCTGGAGTGCATTTCTTTCCTTTCTACAATACTTTATGTCATACTCCTAATAGATGTTTCGGAATGTTTTGTGCCTGTGTGTGGCTGAGGAAGCTGGTTGCTGTGTGATCTGCACACGTGGCTTTCTCCACCACCCGTCCAAGGAATAGACAGAGATCTGAAAAGACGTCACTAAAAGTACATGGAGTTACAACATTGATCTCATCTGAAGTAGAAGTAGTAGATGATATCATTATCCGGAAATTGCTGTGAATTGCCAAAGCCTGGCAATATTATTTATCAAGTGTTTAAAAAATAAGCTGCTGGAGTGCATTTCTTTCCTTTCTACAATACTTTATGTCATACTCCTAATAGATGTTACCAGAATGTTGCCCAGGGCATTGTCTTTTCAGTTTTCTTTATAGATCTTACTTTTCCTAATTTAGGTGAGATTCAGATAGAAAAGATGTTCAAGAGGAGGCATTCAAGAGAATGTCAGAGGCTTCTTTAAAAAAAAAGAAACCAAAACATGCAAAGGCCCTTTACAGAAGGACAGAAGCGAGAGGCAGAATAGGCCATGAAGCAGGGCAGGAGCCTGTGTCTGCAGGAGGAGGTGGATGCTGCGGAGCGGTGTCTTACTTTTCCTAATTTAGGTGAGATTCAGATAGAAAAGATGTTCAAGAGGAGGCATTCAAGAGAATGTCAGAGGCTTCTTTAAAAAAAAAGAAACCAAAACATGCAAAGGCCCTTTACAGAAGGACAGAAGCGAGAGGCAGAATAGGCCATGAAGCAGGGCAGGAGCCTGTGTCTGCAGGAGGAGGTGGATGCTGCGGAGCGGTGGTGATGCTGAACAGCCCCGGGCGGGCGTTGATCTGCTGGGTTTGCAGAGTGGGGACAGGTCCTGCTCCTCACTCAGACTTTATTACAAATAGTGCCAACCATGGGAGATTTTTAAAGATGCAACATTGCTATTTCTTTCAAAGAATGTAGGAAGCTGAGAGACTTTGCTGTAGGCATTTATATACCTGAAGGGTG